TAATATTATATAAATATTATGTAAATAACTACGTAATTTATTTTCTCACCTTCGTTCCTATCATCAAACAATTCCGAGGAAATGTTAAATCCAGAAACTAAAGTTCTGGAAAAAAAGATACAAATTCGAGATATATGTATTTTATTTATTTAAAAATACAAACACAGATATATGTAATTTGCAATCACGCACGGAAATAAACGGCGAAGGTACGTACTGGCCATCCGATTAGGATTTTCTATATTCTGTCTGAGTTGAGTTGCTCGAATTGACAATTAATAGTGTGATTAATATAATATCGGAAAATACGATAACGAGTCTATTGGTATTGCGTCGTTTTTTTTTTTTTCTTTTTTTTGATGGACATGTATCTTGAAATGTAGCTTAATTTTAAATCGTAAACATATCTGACGATTGATTGTTCAAGCTTGCTTTAGAAAAAGAAAATGCACGATCTCGAAATGAATAGTTTGTTTGGCGTCGATTTTAAAATGGAATTTTGCTGTTCTATGTTCGAAACGCTGAAGAAACGCTGTGCAAGCTCGTAAAAAGTTATCCGACATAAAACTACGGAAGAAGTGTCAGAATTGGTTTGCTAAATTTCACTGTTGGCGAGGATATCGAATCGTTCTTGGAACTTGTTCTTTGTTGAAAGAGACGAGAACTTTTTTGAACGCGGAAGTTAACCGAAGGATGGTAAAAGATAATCGAGCAAAATGGTCAATGCACGTTGAATGGTCAATAATATTAACAAAGTTTTTCTCATGAAAAATTCATCTTTCATTTGCAAACACACACACACACACACAAAAGGAAAAAAAAACACGGTCACCCTTTGGTCAACTTGATACTTAACAATGGTAAAAAAGTAAAATATCAAATTTCCTTGTGTTTGAAAACTGGAGAGAGACATTCACATTTCGAAAATGCATGCAAAAGTTTGTTATCAAGAATATTCAACGCCAATTGGTCATTCTCAGCCCTATGATAGTTATTATATAGCTCTAATCGAATAGTGTTTAATAGAGAGCCGAGAATTTCATTCAGTTATCTTCGTCTGTTATACACGCAATTCTCGATAATAGTATATATAGATCTGATAGTAGTATATATATATACAGACTGCGTCTGTTAATCGAAAGCAGAGCTAACTACTTCTCGATACTAACTCCAGACAAATCATCATCAAACCAATTTCACTCCAGTTGCTTCGAACTTGTCTCTCCTCGCAAAAATACATTTCGATCGCTCGATTCGTTCCTAATTGCTTCGTGGCTGATGATGACTGAAGCAAAGGAACTCCTTCTTCCTCTCACCCTTTGTTACCCGAGCCCGTTACGCGATGACGATCGACGAAATTTCGATCCGGGGACACGAGAGTGGGAAAAGAAAGTTGGTAGACGAGATGGCAGCGTGTGTAGTTCGAAGAGCCTGCAGGCTAAAGCGGACGAGGAATATATTTCAATCCTCGTTCCCTCGTTCCCTCCCCTCTCCCCGCCCTTTGGCATTTCTCTTCCAATTCTTCTTCTTCTTCTTCTTCTTTTTCTTCTTCTTCTTCCTTCTTTCACTCTCTTAAGGGAGCAGGACAGTTTGACGGGCCTAAAAACTACGTACACTTTGGAGGGCTAGTGAGAAAAAAGTACATGTTTGATTGTGGTTTATTTCAACATATGATCTATAAAAAGCAACATTTTGAAAGAGAAAAAAAGAGGGTTGAAAGCTCTTGTTGATTCTGTTTATATCGATCTAAAGTGGACGTTCGCTACAATATTGCGATATAACTCCGTTGCGATACTAACAGATCTTTGGCAAGAGATGTGAAGTGTTAAGTATTATTTTTAAGCGTGGGTATTAAAGTGAGTATTATTTTTAAACCTTGTATAAACGAGTATTTTCTGCCATGGTTTTAAGGAGGCAGGACAGTGTGACGGGCCTAAAAATTACGTATACTTTGGAGAGCTAGTAAAAAAAAAACTATATATTTGATTGACATGAGCATCTCTGGTTTATTTCAACACATTACGAACTATGAAAAGTAACATTGAAAGAGAAAAAAAGTGGGCTCTTATTTAACTTTTTAACGGCATCCTTTTACGTAACTTTCTTTTTACATTGCCAATCGGTGTGCATGATTCCAGCCGAACAGGATTAGCTGCAACAGAAAGGCAGAAAAAGAGTTCAAAAGTAAACAATATTCTCTAAAGCCTGACGATCCAACATTTCGATTTTTATGAAAATTATGAAAATAGCAGCTATTTGTTTTTGATGTATCGAATTTATGCCAAAAGTTTCTACGTTTCTTGTTTATATTTCTAGAAATTGTTAAAAATTAAGAAATGTTCGATCGTCAATCCCTAGTAAATGTTACATAAAAGATACGTACGCAAGTTTCACGGTAATCGGTTGTTTAGATTCCGAGATATCTTGCACGCCGTTTCCAAAAAACCTAATTTCGAGAAAAAAAGCGTTCAAAGTTTCAGAACGTCATTTTTCATACGTATCCTTCACTTACTTTTTTTACTTATACATCGCGGCTCACAGTTCTTATAATTCACAGCTAAATCGAATCCAAGTCCCCTAATATTCGATTCACCAAAACGTAATATTCGAATCACACGATTTACACTTTGTAATACTGCTTAGAGTTGTAAACAGTGATACAAATTCAATTATTCTGTATCCGCGGATTTATTATTGTACCCCAAAATAAGTCGTTTTTAAAGGCTAGGACCTTTCGTATCTTATTTCTAAGACTTCAAACTACCATTTAAAACGAAAACAAAACAATCGATCTTTTGAAAATTCCACACTGTCTTGAACCCTTAATCGTGTTCTCGTTTTCGGCGAGTTCCCTTGAATTATTGTTTTCTTTTCCAGCAATGGAAGGAGGACGATGGTGAATTTTACGAATCTCTGTCGCGTTTTAATGGAAGAGGTATTGAATATTTTTGCACGACTACACTCCATTATATTTCATGCTATCGAGAATTGTAGAAAATTGTGAAAACGTCTGTAGAAAGGGTCGAAGAATTTTTTTTTTTTTAAATTTAAATCCGGTTAAATCCACCGCGGATGATGTTGAAGATGGAAACTCTGGTGATTCGATTTCCTTTCTCGCTCCTTTTCGTCGAGCTTCGAAGGTTGTAAGCGTTGAACGACGAAATGTCAGCGTCTCTTTGAATTTTCGTCGTTTCACTGCGATACTCTAAGTTCCGCAAAATGGCGGCAAGAAGAAACGGGCGCGGTGGATCTACTAGACGCGGAAAATATCTTTTCAATATCTTTTCTCAGAGATCTCCGCAAAAGATGAGCCAAAATTTGTCAAATCAAATCTGAAGCTCCGCGCTTCAAAATTTACAATATTATAATGCCTTAATAATTTTTATAATTTCTTTCATATCGTTGTAATATTTTTTTTTTTCTCGTCAATTGTAACAGTTTGAAAGTACTTTTTCACTATATTTTCCAGCTTCTCGTAAAAATCCACAGTCCGGTAATTACTCTTCAATTATTATTGTCTTACTTGCCTTTATCACTTTGCCTCGTCGTTGTATCAGTTGGCCAATTTGTCTCGGGCAATTGTCAATTGAAAGGTTCATAACAAACGCGATCCTCGACAAATCTTTCGTCTTTCTAAATTGATGGGTCGATAAGTAACGATCAGCGGCGAGCGACAGTGAACTCGACTCGGTAACGGTAATCCAACAGAGGGGAATTTGAGTTGGGGGATGTACAGGGTGTTCCACGAATCGTGGTTAACCTGATTCCACGTATAAAAATTCGTCGAGAAGGAAACATAAAATTTGTTTAGAAAGAAAAGTCGAAAATTTGAAAATCTACCGAGTACACTTGGATTTGGCCAAGTTCGCACTGAACTCGGGCGAATAATCGACGCGAGGGTGTCCTACGCGCAAAAATGAGTAAAAAACGTAGAGTAAAATTTCTCTCAAGAGGTTTTGAACGCGTCTCATTTAAAATACGCGTGTTTGAAATATTAAAATATTGTAATATTACAGTATTATTAAATATTATAATGTTAAATATTAAAATATTGTAATATTACAGTATTATTAAATATCATAGTATTAAATGTTAAAATATTGTAATATTACAGTATTATTAAATATCATAGTATTAAATGTTAAAATATTGTAATATTACAGTATTATTAAATATCATAGTATTAAATGTTAAAATATTGTAATATTACAGTATTATTAAATATCATAGTATTAAATGTTAAAATATTGTAATATTACAGTATTATTAAATATCATAGTATTAAATGTTAAAATATTGTAATATTACAGTATTATTAAATATCATAGTATTAAATAATAAAAAAATTGTAATATTACAGTATTATTAAATATCATAGTATTAAATATTAAAATATTGTAATATTACAGTATTATTAAATATCATAGTATTAAATGTTAAAAATTGTAATATTACAGTATTATTAAATATAATAGTATTAAATATTAAAAATTGTAATACAGTATTATTAACTATCATAGTATTAAATATTAAAATATTATAATATTACAGTATTATTAAATATCATAGTATTAAATGTTAAAAATTGTAATATTATAATAGTATTATTAAATATCATAATATTAAATATTAAAATATTGTAATATTACAGTATTGTTAAATATAATATTGTAATATTACAATATTATTAAATATTATAATGTTACATATTAAAAATTGTAATATTACAGTATTACATTATTGTAATATTACAATATTATTAAATATTATAATGTTAAATATTAAAATATTGAAAGAAAGAAATTTCCAAACTCGATTTCCTCGTAAACGGAGCGTCTTGCAAAAGATTTTTCAGTTTCCACGTTCTTCCGCTTGTTTCTGCTCGTAGAACAATCTCCTCTCAATTATTTGTGTAGAACTGGCTAAATTCAAGTGTGCTCGATTTTCTTTTCAAACACGAAAGGTTTGATTTACAAAAGAATTTTGTTCTTTTTTTGTAGACTTTCGACGTTTCTACGCCTGCGACGTTGGTTGACCACGAGTCGCGGGCCACCCTGTACAAGCGAGAGGGACACCGAGGATTAGTCACAACGGAACGAAGTTAACAAGTTCCGGTTAATAATGGAGCACGAACGAGTACGGTAGCGATCCGCAGTGTACACAGACCGGCGGACCCGGGCGCCCGTTTCGTCTTCAAGAAATTGAGAATCTCTCTCGGGTCGCCGGAGCAAAAATGGAGGAAAGCGGATCCGAATGAAAGGGCTGATAAGTCTGTGTGCCACCATTTATTGTCCTCTGTACCGTCCCACCGAGATGCGCGTTAATAAATTTATTATCGGCGCTCAGTTTCAAAAATTCCGCGCGGACGAAAAATTTTACCTTCGTCGTTCGACGTTATTGAAACTGTCTAGTAAAGTAACGAGCTACCAAATTCCTTTTGTTCATTAACACACGTTTGCGGACAAGTCAATCCAGCTGGCGAGAAGCATACATAAACGCATACTTTCTTCTCCATACTCCAACAGACAGTTGATCTTAACCGCATGCGCTGGCAACTGATTGCGGACCATAACGAACGACCAAACCGTATACAAGATTAATCGGTGTCACAGCGGTGTGAATTATCGACGCTGGTAGTCACGTTGTTTGAATTGCAATCGAATAGATCATTCTACGATTGAAAGTACGTGATTGTAGAAGGTGGTCCTCAAAATATTATAGGATTTTTAGTTTGAATACGAAATAAAAACGAAATAAGCTGTGTGCACCAAAATTCTTTGTCAAAGACATAATCTGTGCATCATAACAGATCACACAGATCAATCTCATTAGTCGACTCACGTTTTTGCAATTGAATAGATCATTCTGTGATTGAAAGTACGTGATTGTAGAAGGAGGTCCCCAAAATATTACAGGATTTTTAGTTTGAATACGAAAGAAAAACGAAATAAGTTGTGTGCACCATATTGTTAACAAAATTCTTTGTCAAAGACATAATCTGTGCATCATAACAGATCACACAGAAAAAATTCATTAGTCGACTCGCGTTTTTGAATTGCGAATAGATCATTCTACGATTGAAAGTGCGTAATTGTAAAAGGAGGTTCCTGAAATATTAACTTGCGCTGGCAACTGATTGCGGACCGTAACGAGCGACCGAGCCGCATACAATAACTCGTCGCTTTATTTTCGAACTCGTCGGTACGATATCGCTGTAGGATAGAAATTATTGCGAAGTAATAAATTTATTTCCTGGGTTATGCTTAAATATACTTGAAACTGAGAAAATGAAAATTGCAATTTTGGGAAACAAAAAATTGTCGACGTGCGTGGCACGTCATTCCAGCGCAAGAGGTTAACCATTTGAGTGCGGACCATAACGAGTGACTGAACCGTATACAATAATTCGTTACTTTCTTTTTGAACTCGTCGGTATAATATCACTGGATAGAAATTATTGAGACAAATGATAAATTTGTTAAATTACTTGGATTACATTTAAGTATACTTAAAACTGAGGAAATATTGCAATTTTGGGGCAAAAAACGCTCGACGTGCGTGGCACGTCATTCAAGCGCAAGAGGTTAACCACTTGAGTGCGGACCATAACGAGTGACCAAACCGTATACAATAACTCGTCGCTTTCTTTTCGAACTCGTCGGTACGATATCGCTGTAGGGTAGAAATTTATTGCGAATTAATAAATTTATTACTTGTTTCGTCTAGGTTGTGCTTGAATATACTTGAAACTGAGAAAATGAAAATTGCAATTTTGGGAAACGAAAAATTCTCGACGTGCGCGGCACGTCATTCCAGTACGAAAGATTGAAAGTTCTTGTTATCAAAATTGTTACACTCGCTTCGGATTCGTGTTTGCCTCGAATTATTTCCGAGCCTGAGCAAGAGGGAAGAAAGAACTCGGAGGAGATCGTGCGCGATCATTCTTGCAGGTTGCACGCTGTTAAACAGGGGGGAACGATAAAGGAAACGCAGGATGTTGTCGTTAAATTCCATTTGTTCGTCTACGAAAATAACACGAAAATAGCGAATAGTCGTTTCGGTGGCCGCCTTTACGGTCCGAGCGTGTCGTATCGTTTCTTCCCTTATTTTTTCCCCTCCTTTCTCTCCTTTTTTCTTACGCGAGAGCTAAAGCTCCGGCTCCGTCTAAGTGAAACGTACGTGTACGCGCGTAAGCGGGGCCAAGGACGTTGGAGCTACGACATTGCCCGGTCGTACGTATCCATAAACGGAAGCGTTACGTGAAGTTCAGCCAGGTGAACGAGAATCGTGTTACTAGCAATAAGATCTTAACACGCGACCTTAACATCGCGTTTTAAAAAGCGCGCGCTGTTGTTTCCCCTCTTGCTCGCTTTCCTTTTCTTTTACGAAGATGAAACACCGATTAGGATAAGGGAACAAGAAGACCTCTGCTGTCTTAACAATTGAATTTAAATAGATTAAATTGAATTTTAGATTTTAAATTTAATTTAATTTTAAATTTATTAAAGTAGATTTAAATTGATTAGATTAATAGATTTAAGTAGATTTAAATTGAATTTTAAAAAGAATTACAGGCTCGAACTTGGTATGTAAAATTTCATAGAATCGACGTGGTGTTTTCATTTACACCACATCGGTTAATTTAATTAGGTTCAGCTAATTTTTAGTTTCTTTTCTAATTCTAAAATTCGTTAACGAGAAGCAAATTAATTCATTTTTGGTTCCGATATTTTAATTTACCATTTTTATTTTGTAATTTTGTTTGTACAATTTTACAAAAATTTTATTATTATTATTTCAGTTGGGTCTAAATACCTTTTGTTCTTGGCACTTAAATAAATTTATTTACAACGTGTGATTTACGTGTTAGTTGTAGCATTTACATACCAATTCATTGGGTTCCAATGATAATATTCAAAACTCGCGCCAAATTCCATTTCATAAGTATGACTTTGATTTATTTTTATATTGTAGTTTAAATTACAATGTAAAGCTAGAATCCATTTGCACGATTCTTTTTTCAATTTCTTTTCACCTTTCATTTATATCAATAAATCACTTGTCACTTGTATTATTCATTTCCATATAATATTTAAATTTATTATCTTTATTTAATTTTATTATTTTTTAATTAGATCCAAGTATTCTTAGCTTGTATTATTCATTTCCATATAATATTTCAATTTGTTATCTTTATTTAATTTTATTATTATTTAATTAGATCCAAGTATTCTTAGCTCTTAATATTTAAAATTCATTTACAAGAAGTATTTGCTGGTCGTGGCTTTTACAAATTAATTCATTATGTTCGAATAATAATAGTCAAAAACTCCATTCCATAAATATTTTATATTGTAATCTAAATTAAAGCTAGAGTCTACCACCGATTAATAAATCACTAGTCACTTGTTATATTATTTATTTCCAATATTTTAATTTGTTATTCTTACTTAACTTTGTTATTTGTATAATTACTTTGTCATTATTATTTTTATTTTATTTTATTATTTCATCGTTGTCGTTATTATTGTTATTTTTTTATTATTCATTTTTAACCAAATTTGGACAAAACCTAGTATCAAGCAGAAGCAATTATTCATTTCATTATAATTATTATCATTATTATTAATATTATTATTATTTTTCAGTCACTATTATTCATTTTTAACCAAATTTGGACAAAACCTAGCATCAAACAGAAGCAATTATTCATTATCATTATTATTATTTCACTTTAGTCATTATTATTCCTTTCTAACCAAATTTGGAAAAAAAAAACCTAGCTGTAGCGAGATATTCCACAAGAAAAGAAAAAAAAAAAAGAAAGAGAGAAAGAAGAAGAAAATCAGTGTGTCAGTAGACACAAAGGACACGGAGGAACGGCTCCGAGTTTGAAGCGAAGTAGTAGGGGAGCGTGCGTGGTCAGCCGATTATTAGCAGGCGGTCCTGGTGTCGCGCATAAATCATGCCGGTCGCAGACATTCGTGTTGATTAGCAGTGATATATACTTCGGTCGTCACGCTGCGAGTTCACCCGGTTTCGAAACAAAGGCGAAGAGGGAGGGAGTGGGCAGAAAAAGGGAAAAGGAAAAAGAAAGAAATGGGAAAGAGGAGGTCGGAGACGATCTGTGAACGAGATAAGAGTAAAAACTGTTGACCGGTCGTTTTTTTTCTTTTTTTCTTTTTTTTTTTCTTTTTTTTCAGAAATTCTGCTGAATAGTTGTGAGACGAGGCTCCGGTTAAATATTGCTTTCAATTTCTTTCCGTGTCTTTTGTTCGCCAGCCAGCCAGCGTAAACGTGATAAATCAAAAAAACGATTATACGTGCTTCGCCCTGTATAGCGATTTAGAGAGAAGAATTATTCGCGATTGTTCGATTTGTTTTAGGGGAGAATAATCGGCAAGAGTCGTGTGAAATATCGAAAAATACGAGCTGCGAATCAATAACCTTGAAACTGTTTGGCGAAAGATTATGTATTCGCGTTCATTTGCACATGGAATTAAATGAATAATCAAGTCCAAGTTCGTCAGACGTGTGTGTTTCATTCGAAGAAAGAAAAGATGGAAATTACATTCGTTCGTTATGTTACTGAAAAACGATCGTCCCTTGCAAAGAAAATCGAACGTTTTCGAACATCAAAGTGAAGTTCGATATTTCGGGAACGAGACAATTTTGAAACATCCTCCGTGCCATGAAACATGCAATTCCCCCGAGAATAATACTTTCATTTGGACATGTGAAAAATAAATGTCTCGCTGCATTTGTAAATCCATTAATTTTTCATTAATTTTTTCTGGATTTTCAAACCTGCTTCTACTTTTTCACTTGACGTTGCGCTTGACGAGTAAATCATTACCGAAATGTTTAAAAACGATCGGCAATCGTTGTATAGCTTTTCATTTCAAATGAAATCACTGTCGAAATCTTTATAAACTTCTCTCAATCTCAAGTGTGTAATTACGCAATCGATGAATCAAACTTTTATCGCGTATCGTGATTGACGTAAGCTGCTTGACGTTAATTTCTCCTAAAAATCAGAGTCAGAGTGGATCATGCTGGTGCCACGATCCAACTCTGACGCGATCACTGTGTACGAAGGCGGTGAACTTGGTGACAGTTGCTCGAATCTTACACAAGTAGTGGTACAGCCGGACTTCGTACGTTGCAGGGGTGTACGATTGAATTAATGATCCGCTGTCGAGAAACCGATGTCGAATCGACCGGTTTCGGCGTAAAATGGAGTCATAGCGTGGCGAGAAACTGCCGTCTGCCAGGTATTTATGATCGAGGGACTCTCGTTGAGAAACACTCTTGTACGTTTGCCCTCGGGGGCTGGCTGGCTATAAATTTTTACCGATTGAAATTGATTTTGTCGTTTGACAAGAGATCCCTACGTCATGTTGGGGATTTTTCTTTCTTCTTTTCCCAGTGTGGAGGATTTAGTGATCTTAGACGTTGGTGATCGTTCGTCATGTTCATCTTTTTAGTTTTGAATTGAAAACTCATTAATATATCGAGCCACGCCTACGGTGAAAGTTATGGTCTTGATTTCGTTGTTATTACATTACATACATTTAATTATTATGATTGTACATATATTGACGTAGTAAATGTAAAGTACTGAAACACATTGTACTTTCTAACTTTCAAATTAGAGAATTCTAATTGCGTGGCACTCTGATATCTTCTTTTTTTTTTTCTAATAATTACGCGCACGCTCCAGAGATTCTGGGCTAACTATAATATATTATAATATATATTTTATATAATATAATATACATTTTTATAATAAATATAAAATATTTAACAAATTGTAAACAAAAGGCAACTTTTCTCCGTTTCCTTCTGGAAACAGTATCAGCATTCGAGTCTTTTACTCATCCGTGACTCTCCCCTGCTTCTTTTTCTACAAACTATAGTCTGTGCAACGAGGCGAGACCTGAGCAAACCTAAACAAACGCACGTGATCGATTCGCGGCCAGGATAGGTTCTAGAATCGATTTCACAGAGCCCCGATTCCTGGAAGAGTTCTACGAATAACAAAATTCTGTGGTGTAGAAACTATAGAATAACGATACCAGTCTACCGATGGCAGTCAACAGCTGCAGGCCGCTGCAATCGGGCACGTAAACGTTTTAGTTATGTCTACCGTCTCGTCTCGTTCGACAGA